CGCGCGCCATGGAGATGCGCGCCATGGAGATGCGCGCCATGGAGACGCGCGCCATGGAGACGCGCGCCGCGCTATCGAGGGCAGGCGCGGGTCATCGCCGCCGCGCAGGGGTGGGCGCGTGCGCGGCGGGCCGGACCGCGATCGTAGGTACCACGGCGAGGGGAGGGTTGAGATGAATAGGGGGGAGATGGACAGGAAGACCGGCGTGCCGTTCGGATTCCCGCCCCCGATGATGACCCCAGACATGATGATCAAGTTTCCGCCGCCGCCGTTCCCGCCGGGCATGCTGCCGCCGGGTATAATGCCGCCGATGCCCGCGGGGAGGGTGTTTAGGCCGGACAGGGGAGAGAGGGCCGAGCGCGGGGAAAGGAGAAGAGACGGGAGAGATGGGAGGAGGGATGGTCGCGGGGATAGGGACAGGGATCGGGACGGCAGGGATGCCCGTTCGCGTCTAGGCAGGGGTCCGTCTGCCGATGGGCAAGCTGCGCAGGCTGGTGGCCGGAAGCAATACTTTGTACTTGCGATGCGCAATGTGCCCGAGGATAAGCTCAAACTTCCGCATATTCTCAAGTTCTTCGAAAACTATGGCACCCCGGACAACGTCCAGCTTGTTACCCCCGATCGGGCGTTTATCATCTACGCGTCACGTGAGCCGGCGCAAGCTGCCACAAAGTCGGTGGATGCAATCATGGGAAATCGCCACATCCGCCTCGGATGGGCTACCGCGCAAGACTACGACGTCTCGGGGCTGGAGCTTACGGACGAGGGCGTGCTGCAGCCGTCGACAGGCCGGAGGAAAACCCGCGACGACCGCCGTGGCGACAAGGGTGACCGGCGCGGCGACCGCAACGACGGCAACCGCGGCGAAGGCGGCGCAAGGAAAGAATCTCGAAGCGCCGCGCATGGGATGAATGCTGTGGCAAAGAAGGAGGCCGAGAAGCAGGAGGCAGCCAAGGCGGCCGAGGAGGACCTGCGGAAAAAACGCGCCGCGATCGCCGAGGCGCGTGCGAAGCAGGACGAGGTGAAGACGCAGCTGCAGGCGCGCAAGAAGCAGCTAGTGGACGAGCAAAAGGTGCTGTTTGCGTCCATGGCCACGGCCGGCGACCAGGCGGCAAAGCTGGAGCTGTTTCGCAAGGCCAAGGCGATCGACTCACAGCTGGAACAGGTCGTGTCCGGGCTGAACCCGAAGGCGGGCGCGGTCGCTTCGACGGCCCGCGTGGCTGCGTCGCCCTCGGCCCGCGGCGGCGCGTCTGGGCGCGGCCGCGGACGCGGCCGCGGTGGTCGCTTTGAAGGGTTCTCCGTCGACAACCGGCCCAAGACGCTACAGATCATGGGCGCCAAGGCCGACGTCGTCGTCGAGACGGCTATATCCGTGTTCCACGAAACGCTGTCGGCGGAGAAGGTCGGCGCGTTCTGGTTGCTCAACTTCCCCACACGCCGCGCGGCCGAGAGCGCCATGCGCGCCCGCGGCCCGCTCAAGCGCGGCTTCGGCGCAGCCGCCATGAGCCAGATCGTGGCCGGGGCGAACAACACGGGGGTGCAGCCCGCGCAGCCCGCGCAGAGGCTGGACGACGTCGCGGCGCAGATCCCGACGAAGCCGGCCGCGCCGCAGCCGCTGCCCATCGAGGAGCCGCCGAGCGATGACGCGCAGGCGCAGGCGAAGGCGCAGGCGAAGGCGCCCGTGCAGGCGCAGGGCATGGGCATCGGCATGGGGGTCGGCGTCGGAGTCGGCGTGGCGCAGGCGCCTACGGCGATGATGATCGACTCACAGGAGAGCGGGCCGTCCTAAGGTGAAGGTGGAGTGTTTGAGGTGGCATTGTGGATATGTTTTATTGTTTGAGGACGCATAAAGAATATGTCTCGCGGACGCTCAGCGTTCCACCCCCGTGAAGGGGCCGTCCTCAACGAATCGATGTGTTCTGAGCTTGCGGCCGTGACGAAGCGCTTCGAAGTTGTTGGAGAGACGTCGTGCTTGCCGAAGGCGTGCTTGTAGTTGCAACTTGAACGAGAAAGGTCGCGCGTGGCATTGCCGCGCAGTAGCTTGAATTTTAGTTATATTTTAAGCACGTGCGCTCCGCCGGCCTTGTGCGCTGCAGTAGCCGCTCACCACCGACCCAGTTACCCTCCCCGCCTTGGCAATCACCGTCCCGTCCCACCCACTGCATTCAGCCCAAACGCCATCTTTTTTGCCCGATCCACTATCCCCCGCCTCCCCCGCCTGGGTGGTGCCTCCCTCTTCCCGTCCCTTCTCGCCCCGACCTCCCCTTACCTCCCCTCTCAAGCATGGATGAAACCGATCCGCGCGCCGCCGCGGCCATGCAAGCCTTCATCCAAGAGGAGAACCAAAAGGCCGCCGTGCAGCAGATAATCTCCAAGCTAACCAACACCTGCTGGGACAAGTGCATGTCGTCCAAGCCGGGCAACAAGCTGTCCTCCTGGGAGTCGGACTGCATCGCCAACTGCGCCGAGCGCTTCCTGGACACCTCGCTCCTCATCGTGCAGCGCATGCAGCACCAAGCCAACCGCTAGCCCGCCGCCCCGTACGACAGACAGTCCAAGCCCTGCTCAGTAAAGTCATCGCGACCCCACGTCGCCACGTCCACGAAGCCCCACCTCTCCGCGCCGGCGAACTCCCCGCGCCTCTCGGCCACGCTGCCGCTGCGCTGCCGCGCCTCGCGCGCGCGCGCGCGCGCATCGCAGTGCTGGTGGAACGCGTGCACGTTTGCGCACGGGTTGACGACGCGCAGCCCGGCGCGTCGCAGCGCCCACACGACCACATTCTCCGCGCCAAACTCGTTGACGCGCAGCGCGCCCAGCCGCGCGATCACGGCCCCGTCCAGCGGCGCCACGAACGCGAACGCGTCGTGCGACGCCGCGCGCACCGGGTCGTACCCCGCGCAGAAGTCGGCCGGCTCCCACGCCGTGTCGCCGCGCGCGGACGCCGCCGCGCAGTCCGGGCTCGGGTGCCGCGACAGCGCCAGCGCCACGCGCGGCGAGAGCAGCCCCGCGCAGAGCAGCGACTCGTCAAAGTAGATGTCCGCGTTGGCGACGACGGCCACCGAGCCCGCCGGCGTTACTGCGTTGGCGCGCGCGAGCAGCGCCGCGTAGGTGACAGGCTCGTCCGCGCGGAGATGGGTCGTGGCCAGTCGGCCGGAGGTGGAGGCGTTCTGCAGGACAGGGGGCAGGAAAGTGCCGCTTTCCACGAGTAGCTCGTAGCGCGAGACGGCGCGCAGGGCGAGGTTGCGCAGCACGACGACGCGGAGCTCCGCGATGCGGGAGGTGGAGTAGCGTGCGGAGTAGAGGGAGGAGACGAGGGTAACGCCCGGGGCACGGCGGGACGTTGAGAGGGCGAGGGTGGCGTTCGTGTAGCGTTGGGTGTGGGCGTCGAGGGCGCGTGCGAGGAGGACTTGCGAGTGGGCCCACCAGGCGTGAAGGGCCACGCCGAGGAGCGTGGAGAGCAGGAAGATGAGGAGCACGAGGAGGCGGGCGACGTACGGCTTGGTGCGGATGAGGCGGGAGAGGGTGCGGCGGATGGTTAGCGTGGCACTGAAGCGCGGCGAAAGGGGGACTGTGCGCGGGGCGACCATTAGGGGAGCACCGCGCGCGGCGAAGCGCAGAAGACGCTCGCGGGGGAGAGGGGGGGAGAGGGTTTGGGGCGTGGACTCATTGAGCGCGCCCGGCGCGGGAGTAGCGGGGAGGTGGGCTTCCTGTGGGTGCGGATAGAGAGTCTACCGTCGGGGGGGAAAGAGACGTTGATGTTGGATATTGTATTAGGCAGTTGGTGTTGCGAGGGACCTATCGCTCCCTTCTCCCAAACCCTAATTAATTAATTAACGAGATTCTACTTCAGAGGCTATATGTTTAATCAAACATAAATTTCACAATAAATTTCACAATAAATTTCACAATATATCAGACGGACGGATAGACTCTTCCGTCCAACACTTCTTCACACGTTTGATTGCCTGCAGCGGTCCACCGCCCCTCGAGTGCTTTCAATATTTGTACATTCAGTATTTGTACATACAGTACCCTCCTTCATTCGTTTTGGACTGCGAGCTTCCAACACCAGCTGCCTTGTTTCTACGCATCGCCATGCAAGGCCCACAACGGCTCGGAAGCGGTGCCTCTATTCAAACCTCCTCAGTCGCAATAACTGGCATGCACAGGTTCGAAAAACATAACAAGCCTTTAGCATTTTCGCTCACTTCTCTAGACACTACGATACAAATTATCAAAATACAATATTCCAGCACCCACACTCGGAACAACTACTACCTGCCATTGGCAAACCCCGTTGCTACTATTCTTCTTCTTCTTCTTCCTCCTCTATCACGACTTTGGCCGCTTGCTGCTCTGCATGTAGCCGTGTCGCTCTGGCCGAATCCACCAATAGTAATCGAATAAACACAAGAAGCCCGCTCACTCCACCGGCTGCATACCACTGCCACGGTGTCAACATGAACACAAACTGTACAAACATGGGCATGAAAGGGAAAATTAGCAAGACCGTAGCCAGTTGCCATTGCAAATTCTTGATTGAGCTGATTATCAAATAGTTGAAGTAGGGCACAGGATTGTATAGAGAGAATGCAGCCGGTTGGAAGGGAGGCGGCAACACGTAGTCTTGATGTTGCGTATCCTTGTACCCGTCATTGCCGCTGAAGCATTTCTTCTTTGCCGCTGCTTGCTTAGTTGTCAATTCAAGAGAAACCTGTATTTGTGACTGCACGTCCGGATAGTTTGGATGCTCCATCCACAGCCATTGTTTCTTCTTGATGATCGGCTTCTTGTTCACAACAAGGTCATCAAATAATGACCTTAGCTTGATATCGACAGTGGCGCACAGTTGATCATCTCCAAGTCCGTGGCTTGTATCGTCAAATACTTGCAGCTTAAGTCGTGGCTTGATGTCCAGCGACGGCAAATTGATGTTCCATTTCATTCTCCAGTTGAACTCAGCAATGCCATCTGCCACATACTTGCAGGGAGGAGTTTTCTTCTCATGTTCTGGCTTATTTCCCAGACGTGCTTGGACGTAGAATGCTGCGAGCACGTTAGGATCGTTGCCCCTCAATTTGTAGGGCAGCGTGCATTCTTGAATCTTGTACACTACCAGTCTTAATTCGTACAACTCTTGCGGCGGCCTGCTGATTGGCACTGGTCTGTAAAGCTTTGGTCGTTTGTCGACGTCCTTGGCATCAAATATATCAACAAAGCATTCCAGCTGACCCTTCAGGTTCGCAGAACCATCCGAGTAGAGGGACCGCCTCTCCACAGGCGTTCGAGCGAGATATCTCCAGGATGAGTTGTACCACCGTGCATCAAGGTCTATAACTGTTTCTCCAATTGGTGCAGACCATCCAAATCCAAGTTTTCCGATGTTGACTGGCACATCTGTATGCTTGATCCCAAATCGGGCCTTTCCTTCGTCCTTCAAGTACATTGGATACGACAAAGGTACCGTTACCTCTGGCAAGACGCGGTCCTTCACTTCTATGCGAACCGATCCACCAGGCATCTTCACCCGGCTTTCAAACATATCGAAAAAGTTGGGATTGTCATCATCTTCGATTGGCTCATGCTTCTGCGTGTGATAATCGGGATATCCTCCGTAAAACTTGGCTGTCAGATACGGGTTACATTGGGACCCGACTTGCTGAAGGTTGATTCCTCGGAGAATGTACACTCGTACAACGACCTCGGTCGGGATAAACACGCGACCAAATGAACGCAGGGATGTGAAGCGAACCATTTTCGCAGCAAGGTCATCCTTCTTATCCATTTCAACCAAATCGAGGCGTGCCTTGAGCTTTCCGACGGCGGGGCGAGCCCCTTCCAAGGCCGCTCTGCGTTTTTCCTTCTTCAACAAGGATGCGGTGCTGGTCAATTCCTCAAGCGGCAAGATTGGGGGTGGAAATGCCTGATTACCTTGCGCCATCTGCGCGGCATCGGCAATTCGTCCGATCGTATTGCCAAGTGAGCGATTGTCACCACGAAACATGAGAAACTCTCCATATGCTGGTTCGGAGAAATCACTCTCCAGTTCTTTCGGGCAGTAGCCTCTGTCTTTCTTGAGATACATGGTCCCGTCATAATCAATCTTATCCTCTTCCCCTCCAAGAAGCGCTGAAAGGGGAACGTCCTCATCAACCTCAACACCCAGTGCCATGGAAACATCGGGCATCAAATCGGCCAACGTGTCTGCTATTTGATATTTCATGGCTCGAAGCGGGGCCAGCATCGAAAAGACCTTGTCTCCAAGTGCGTTACCCTCTGCTACGGCTTTCTTCACCTTGCTTGTCTCATCCTTGGCACTGAATCCTACACGCAAGATGTCTTTGTTTTCCTGCAGAACGATTATATTCTTTCGTTCGCCTCTTTCTTGCGACTTCACCTCATGCAGTCGAAGAGACGCCCCGACAGGCTCCTCTCCTGCCAATCTCGCATTGCGTCGAAACTTGTAATTGTTGCTGCTTGCATGTAGGCGTTCAGGGACAAGCGCATCTGTTCCAAAGGAATCATCGATCAGGGATTCCCCGGTCAGGAGCTTGCGATGGTGTTCGAATAACCATTTCTCTAGAGGGATAACTGCTGTGGCAATCATGTCTGGTGCATGCGACTGATTGTACTCAGCATATACGTAAACACTCAACGCGGGTGCCAGACGAAGATCTTCAGGGACCTTGATTTCGAGGACGAGGACATCCAGAATGTTGCAGTTAGCTTCAAAGGCTCGCCGTTGAAGAATAGTTCCACGTTTTGATCGAACCGGCTTGACTGAATCGCTGGAAACGGCGCACTCGACAAATATGTCTCCTGCGGCGTATTGCAAGAATTTCACATCGCGAAGACCGACCAGTGAGATACGCAGCCCTGATTCGGTCCTGTCGGGCGGGTCAAAGGGTCGCATGGGGTGAGCAATTGCAAACTCAGACGGGATCAACTGGAAGTCAGCCAGCACTTCTCCAACTATCACGCCTGGATTCACAGAAAACACGGGATACCATTCGGAATGCTCCAGAGTCGGAGGTGCAGAATCCAGTTCGGCACAAGGAATAATGGACCGTCCCAAATACGCCATCGGTATATCCTCACCATCGTAGTCATAGATGAGAATGTTGACGTTCGGTTTCCGTTCGCCGTCCCGGATCTTGATGTCTTTGACTTCAATGAGCTCTTCCCAGGAGGGAGAAACAGTTTGTTTGCAAAACACCTGTCCATACTCACTCTTGTCACCCATCGAAACAACGACACGCGGATCTGAGAGTCCAGTTTCGTCGGCAGCTGGAAGATTTCGTCCCTGAAGAATCAAGGCACGAAGCGTGTAGGACCGCTCATATCCTAGCGGGATGGAATATGTGTGCGGTTTTACAACAGAATCAGATCGAGTCGTCGCCCTGGCCACGAGCGAAGTATCTCGTCCCCGACGAGATGTGTCACCAACCCCTGGAGAGATCTTTGTACCATCGGAAGCATCGACAAGCTCTGCTTCCTGTTCTTCATCAATGACAACCTGCTTGGATGCCGTAGGGGACGGGGCGGTTTTCTTCTTCAGCGACGACCGTTTTTCGATATCGAGTGTCGTGCTACTCACATTCTGAGGGGCAGTCGTAGTTCGGTCCTCCCCCGCGGCTTGCTGCTGCTGCTGTTGTATTGGGTCGTAGCGCGACAGTGAGGCGGACATCAAGATACTACCTGGAACTTTGTTATCGCCCGAGTCGAGTACATTGTTTCCCGGGTAGTCCATGAACAGCCATCTGGGGTCCTTTTGACCACAGATCAAGTGCTTTGCAGGAAGCCGGAGGAATGCAGTTGCAGTCCAAAAACTGTTTGAGGACCCCTTTTCGACACTAGAATCAGGGATGTGAGAGGGCGTTCTCCTTGTCGCGGGGTCATCAGCTTTGGGTAAGTTCGAGGCGTCAAAACCGCCTGCGTCCAGTGGATTATGCAAAAACTCCTTGTTCTTCTCCGTAATAGACACTCTTTCCGCTGGCTCTGCGATGGTCCCATATTCCGTGTTTCCTAGAGCTTCATCCGCAGAGCGATTGCCATCAGGATCAATAGTCGCCCTCCGCCCCTCGGCCGCTTGTTTCTCCTCCAACTCTTCGACTGTGGACGGCTTTCGGGCTGAGATGGTCACGAAAAAATCCGGAATTTGTTCCACATCCTCTGGGAATTGCATGTTGGGAATAGAGACGGCACATTTTTCATCCCAGATGACACAGCAGTTTTGAACGACTGCGTTTGGAATGGTGGTCCCGAATTCGTACAGGCCAATCCGACCCCTGACGGAGACGGACCATCCATCCAAGAGCGGGAGCTCGGTCGCACGTAAGACGGAAAATTCCATCTTGTAAAACTCGAGTTTCGGTCGCGGAGGCGGCGGACATGGCCGAAGGAATGGCTTCTCGACGTTTCCCGGCTTGGCTCCGACGCCGATAAGGACGCGTCCGCGGAAGGCGACGCCCTTGTCGTAGGGATCTGCCGGCCCTTCAGGCATGCCATAAAAGTTGTAGTACCGCGGCTTCATCAAGGCAACTTCACGCACGCGATCTCCATAGTCTTCGCCATCGGCAGGGTCCCCGCGAACGACGGCAGTGGTCATATTTTGGAACAGCTCCTCAAAGGAGACGTTGACTTGACCGATGGGTTGGTCCTCGCGGAAGGGGTCTTGCAGCCTGGGCATGATACGATGGAAGAGCTTCAAGTTAATGCCTTCTTGGGCGACGCGCTCGTTGATGATAGTGAGAGGCAGGACGTATTCCTCGTTCCAAATGACGCGTCGCTGCAGTAGTACGGAGCATGCTCCGCCGATGTTTGCATCAACAACCTCCTTGGCTTCAGAAATAAAGACCTTGCTCTTGCACTCGCCCCAGCCTGAATAGTTGAAGGTAACGTAGCCACGCACGGCATCCCTGTACCGCGGGCTTGCCATGCGCGGGAGCATGTCGGCCCAACCGACGGTGATGTGGACGGCCCAGTTCTGGTACGACATCTTTGGGGTCTTCAGGACGTTGTTCTTGAGCAAGTTAGCGACGGAGAACTCCTCCGCATCTTCCGCGTCCACATGATGCGGCGGCGAGCCACCGGGGGGCACGACGGTGATGGACATCTTGATGAAGCCGGCGGGGCGCTTCGCACCATCCGGGTCCTGCAGCGCAAACCACTTGCGGTAGAGCTCCTGGCCAGGGAGCTCGAGCATGCGCTTGGCGTCGAGCGTGTAAATGCCAATCTTCCTGTCGGCGCCAATCCTGTTCCAGTCGAGGACCTCGATGACGATCTTCTCGTCCTCAAACTCGAGGCCCGTGCAGATCTTAGAGAAGAAGAGCAGCTGGTTGACCATGCAACTCAGGGTCTGGCGTTGGCGGTCGGTCTTCTTAGTCATGCCCATGACGGAGGCGCTGACAAAAGGGTCGGAGCTGCCAGAGTTGTCGACGCCCTTGAGGTTGCGGAGCTCGACGACGTTGACTCGGACGGTCCACTCGCCGTTCTGGAGCGGGCTGAGCATCTGGCGGTACGAGTAGCTGCTGCTGTCGACGGGGGTCATGCGGGCGGAGGCGCGCAGCACGGCGGCGCGGTACTGCGCGCAGCCGACGGCGTGCAGCGGGATGCGGAGCTCGGAGCGGACGATGCCGTCCGAGTCTGCGCCGACGCCGATGCGCAGGGCACTGAGCTCGATCTCGCCGATGGTGGAGATGCCTGGCGAGTCGCGCATGTAGCGGCGCGCGCCGTCGTTGGCGTACAGCGGGAGGCCGTCGCGGCCCTTGAGCACGAGGCGGATGGGCATATCATAGAAGCCGCCCTTGACCAAGGTCGTGTCGGCGCGCAGCGGGAGGCGGACCTCGCCCTTGAGCATGTAGTTGTCAAAGTTGGCGCCGAAGCCCGGCCAGTCGTCCGACTTGGACACGTCGCGGATGACTGAGCGGTCGACGACCATGCCGCGGAAGATCCACTCAACCCACACGCTGGTGTACTGACGATGAAGCTGCGACAAGTCGCGCAGGCAGATGTCGACGTTGTAATACTGCTCGAAGAGGTCGCCGGCGCCCTCCTCGGGGACGCGTTCGTCGACGCGGGCCGGGTCGAACTCCAGGCCTGGCGACGGGGAGTTGGGCATGAGGCCGTCCTCGCCAATGACGAGGGCCTCGCCGCGGTCACGCTTCTTCACAACGACGGTATCAGCGGCCTTGGTGGGGTCCGAGGGGAAAGGCGTGGCGCCCACGACGCCCTCGGCGGCAGCGGGGTCTGTAATGGCGATCTCCTCGATCTTGGGGTCGTAGATCCATCCGTTGATCTTGGCATTGAAGGCGAGGAGCGGTGAGTAGCGCAGCTTGGGGGTGAGGAGCTTGTCAACGGACTTGAGCGCAGCGAGGATGGGCGGGGAGATCTTGTCCAGGGCCTTGTAAATCTTGGGCATCTGCTGGTGGACCTGCTTCGCGAGGTTGCGCCTGAGCTGAATGACGTGGACGTCGATCTGCATGGTGATGGGGCGAAGCGGGCCGATGTGCTTGATGGTCTCCCACAGGAGGACGCACAGCAGGGTGGACACGATGGAGAGACAGAACCAAAACCTCCACCCGAAAAAGGTCCATACGGCGACAACGGTCCGCGACGCCGGCGGCAAGGCGATCTCCAGCGCGGTCTTGGTATACATGAAAGCAATGGGCATCATGGGAAAGACCATGAGAATCCAGGGGGTATTCAGCGGGCTCTCGGCGTTATTCGTGCCCTTCATCTTCTCGACCTCGATGGCCCTATTCAAGTCCTTGAGTATAGTGCCGCTAATATCGACCTGGGTAATCGTATCGACCTCCTTCGCGCTGAGCTTCCTACCAGCCCTGCTTCCGGCCAATGCGCCCTTAACGCCACCCTCGACGACGTTACCGACGGCGCCGACGCCGCTGACGGCGGTGCGTCCGACGGAGTCGCCTGCCTGTGCGACGACGTCGGTGACGCCGAGCAGGCCGATGCCGAGGTCCTCGACCTTGTTGACGGCGTTCTGGGCGAGCTTGCGCGTGAAGCGTGCGGCGGGGTTTGCGCGCATGCGGGCGGCGCTGCGCGACGCGGACGGCGCGGGCGGCGCGTCCGGCTCGTCCGCGTCGAGCTGCAGCGCGTCGGGCAGGGCGCCGCTCAGCGACCGCGTCGAC